TCATGCCACGACAGGCTAGGTACAGGTCAAGATATAACAGACACATAACGAACGTATATAGAAAATTGGAGACAAAAGATGCACTACTTGACTTAGACATACATACATAAGGTACATACAGGGTACTAAACTAGGCAAATACAAAGTGTTGTAGTCACTGAGCTAATATAGAGAGGTCAACTTCTTCTCGCTTTTTTGTACAGTGGAAAATGTGGGAACAGATCATGTTTGTGATACATGGTTTGTCTAGACGCATCAAAAATATAAATTTATCATTTACACTTAGGTGTTCAAAGTATGGGATCTTCTCTTTGATATGATAAAAAAGGACAGATCTTTCATTAGAATATAAAGTACAGTCTGAAATAAAGTGTTGTTTATCTTCTATTCATGTTACAGTATTGACAGAGTCTATTCTGGATACATAATCTGTAAGCGTGGTGACATGCTGCTGCTGTTAGTTTTATGAAGGTCCTGGAAGACGTGAAGTCACTTTGCCTCAATTAATCAATGAAACATTGAATGATGTATGATTAGTGTCAAGTTTTGAAACAAAAAATTCATAAACAATAACACTGATTCATAAACAATAACACTGATTCATAAACAATAACGCATGTACAGAAATGCCGTATGGCTTATCATAACAACTCAAGTAAGTACGACATTGGTAATGATAAGAACCTATACAGACTACTCCAGGCATTTGACAGTCACCTCAATATTGCCATAATCAATGTATTTTTTTTAAAACTAGAGCATAAAAGAGGCTGTCTTCACTCCCTTCTCACCATAACGATAATGAAGTCCAGCCAGCACCAGGCATTCGTGAAGTACTTCTTGTAGCCGTATCCGAGCCATTTGAATAACATTTCCAAGAAGAAAATAAACGTAAAGTAGAGATCCGCATATTCCAGAATCTTCTTCAAGGTCGGGCGTTGGCGGATATGTCTATCCTCTATCGCCTGGGATGGAAGCAACAAACAACTCATAAGCAGCAAGTTTCAACTGTAATTTCCAACACAAAAAAATTGGACTCACCCAAATTTTCGACTGTACAACTCCAGTCTTTGTCAAGGAATGAACAATCCATCGCTTACGTGACTTCCATCCCTCAACAGAGACGGGGGGCGCCACAGACTTCTGCAACCTATGATCCACTGCTCACGGAGGCACGTGTGTTATCTGCGTGACGTCACGGAAGCGGTGGATTGCTCATTCCTCGACAAAGACTGGAGTTGTACAGTCGAAAATTTTGGTGAGTCCAATTTTTTTGTGTTGGAAATTACAGTTTAAACTTGCTGCATAATGACTTCTACCAATACAGATGAACTTTCAAGATAAAACAACTAATAAGGTCGAAGAATGGCACATTTGCTAGTAAATACAGCATTTCCCCCTCCCTTCCCGAACTTTTTACGCTAGTCTAAAATCCAGGGACTGATCATCCTAGTAAGTTGATTAAAAGTGACATACACTCTATATAGATGCATAGGCGTCATTTGCATAATAAATGAGGAATAGTAAGCAAAGAATTCATCTTTCGCTGGATCAACGCCAAAAGGCATGTCGTCATCAGTTAAGCAACTGGTGGGTAGAAACATGGACTTCCAATGAAACAATAGTTTGCAAAAATAATGAAATAAAAATGCCATTTTTAGCAAAAAGTTCTAGTTTGAGTTTCTGTGATATCCTCAATAAAGTCCTATGTCATTTTCGCTGTAGGAAAGACAAGAGATTTGAGCTATGTAGCCAAAACGTGGAGATTGCTTGCAAGATATTGGGGGGATCACTACAACTATGGACATAAGTGCAAAATGAAAAAAAAAGACTTACCAGAGCCAAGCTACTAAACAGAATCATGGCTATGATGAAACTCTCGAACCACTTGTGTTCGATGATCCAGTGCGCACGCGCCCGTATAGCGTTCCACGTAGGACCCCAAGTGGTTTCATCGACAGTCGCGCAACAGGCGATGTTTCTGTAGATGCCGTAGGAAAGACATGGGCATCACTTCAACATGTCGAAATAACCGTTACAAAATGTCATTCATGTTTGTTTACTACGAAAATTCCACATTATTGCATTTTCTAATAACCTCAGAATCCTGTAGACGACGAAAGCTGAATAAATATTTAGTAGTAAATTTGCAAATAAAGTTTCAGAAGATGTAGTTGCCTGCGTCAGGAGGGCATGTTTTCGACGTGTATGTGTATGTTTGTGTGTTCGTTTTATGTGTTCACGGTACTCAAGAATGCCAAATACTGGTAATAGGATCATAGTAGTTTCAACTCGAAACAATTCAACTTAGTTTCCTTAGTTGCATAACCATATATTTGGCTGTGTCGACGTTTCGGCAATCTCTCTGTCATCTTCATCAAGCCAAATGAAATTCTCAATTAGTATAAGTGATGTGATGGTCACCTCAAATGTCAGTTGCCATTATGCGGTGTAGACATCTTGACATGTTCATGAGACTTACTTGTAGCAACATTCACATAAACACTCGGGGGCGTTCTCGTCCAAGTCTTCCCAGCACTTTGTCGGGAGTTCCTCCTCCTCTTCCTCCCCTTCCTTCTTGTCCCCTGACAGCGTGCTGACTGAGCGGGACTTGGTACTCTCGGCTTCTAACGTCCCCTTCTCCTTCTCACTCAATGTCTCCAGACTCCCGGACGTCACACTTCCCGATGATAAGGAGTACTTACTACCTTTCTTCTCATCGATGTCATCATAGTTCAGCTTCTGCTCGGAAAAATCCAAACATCGCTGGAATATTCATCTACACTTCATGTAAAATGTACGTCGATGAAGGTTAGACATCCAGGTAATACGATACGCCAAAAAAGCAGTTACTCAAGCAACTGGATATGATTTTGAAAACGTCTGACGTTTCAGCTAGTATCCACTAGCTTTCGTCAGTGACTGAGAGACCAGAGGAGAAATGCAGGTTTATAAGCACAAACTATTGATTGATATGCAAATAAAGTGAAGACAATTTTTGAAGGTCGAAAAAGGAACAAAAGTCAGACAAGTCAAGAAAAGATAAGAAACGTCTGACCGTTTCCAAATCATATCCAGTTGCTTGAGTAACTGCTTTTTGACGTAAAATGCAATGTGCCTAGTTCTCTTGTAAATCTTTGTCACAAATTGTTTCTCCGTATTTTCTCTTCTACGGTTTTGACATTATGTATGATTGGGATGAAAAGAGTCTGTTTATGCTGAGTCTGTTTAGGCTGACCTTCTGCGAAGGGCTCATCCCCGTGATGTCCAGTTCCGAGTCGAAGCCGGCGATGGGAACCATGACGCCGTTGGACGCACTCCATTTGTCTGGATCCTCCAACTTACTGACCGACCCGTTCTGCATGATAATGGCTTGTCCGTCTATCAACATGTAAAAAATATGTAGGTAGATTTTAAAATCATACAAACATGACTTACTGCATGCTCCATGTTTGGCAATAGTGAAGACACGTCCGCTCAAGAAATCCTCCCATCAAGATACCCTGTGTTCTAGATTTTGGCTCTAAACCAGTACACAGCCTTCCAGTATCCATCATACATGACACATGTACGTACGCCAGAGAATCCTTCTAAAAAGAAATCATGGTTTATGTCTAGGAGGGCAAAGTGTAAACTTCTTCTAACTAGAATTTATTATATTAATTGTTGAAGTTAAGTCGTCCGGTGCACATGATAGCCATTTGCTTGTGTTACGCCAAATGGCGGCTCAGTAAACCGGTTGAGATTTGGAAACGACCGAATACTAATAAATTAAGGTGGCATTTTCAACCTTCCGATGTTTCACGCCTTCGTAACATTCCCTCATAATCTGTTTTCAAATAAAGATTGAAATGTCGCTATATGAATCAACGCAAAAATTTCTCACCGATCATGTGTATACCTCTTTCCTCCTCCTCCTCCTCCTCGCCTTGGTCACTGTACGGCGGCCATGTTTTCTTGGGCCTGGGGATACAGGGAAGGCACAGCGACAGAAGGAACTTGGGAAACCATTTTATTTTGTCGATGGCAATCTGTAGGTTGTTGGGCTCATCTGTTCCTTCTGATTCCCCGATATTATCCGAACTGAAGGAACTCAACAGCAGGGCAAGGAAGAGGTTGAGGATCTGTGGAGAGAACAAAAGTTTAAGATACTTTGTTCAACTACTGAAGAGCTACTTATGCCATACCTGGGCCATGATAACGTTCGTTACCGGTATTCCGGGCCAGGTGATATTCTACAGCATGACATGAGCTTCTCCTAGTGTATCCCACAGTCGTCCATAAATCAGTCAAACACGCTTCGTGTGCACCAAGTTCTGACTGATGGGTCCTTTTTTCTCAACTTTGCATTGAAATGTGTGCTTTTTCGTCGGCCAGGCGTGCCACGAAGCAAATACAAAGCGGTGTATTCAGTTTAACTCTCGATCGGACGAGTTTTCTTTTATGTCATATTTGATAGAAGCTGCATTTTGATAATGAACCATTTTGTTGCCAGGTGATAGGATGCCAAGTTCCGCCAAAGAGTTACCTGTATGTGTCCACCTACCCAGGAACGTACAGTAATCAGACTAACTGGGTCAACTCATGTTCTGGTGAATCCTTTCATCAACTGTACAGACGGAATACTTTGGAGCAAATGTCTCTAATGTAGATGTTTTCAGGTGGGATTTGAGATACAAATAATTATCGTTTGAAATACATATCTTATTGCCTTCATGTACCCGTCTTACTTCCGTCATTTCCTGTGACAACTTTAAATACAAAATACGTCTCCGTTTCTCTTCCTGTGTGTAATTTTGGGAGAGGAATGAAGGTATGACATGGATGTAGAGATACTTACAACAAGATTGCCAATGACCATGGTGAGGAGGAACATAATGAGACAGGCTGGGTACGCGGAGCCGGCACAATGCATACAGTCCCACATGGTCTCCACCCACTCGCCGCACAGAACGCGGAAAATGATCATGAAGCCATGAAAGAAGTCTTGGAAGTGCCATCTGGGCAGTGTGCCCCCGAACGCCTCAGCTGTGTAATATTCACCGAATAGCTGCATGCCGATGACTGCGAAGATGTACACCACAATGCCCAGGATGAACGTCAAGTTGCCCAGGGCACCGAGTGAGTTTCCGATGATGGAGATGAGCAGGTTCAATGTCGGCCAGGACTTCGCCAGCTTAAAAACCCGAAGCTGCAAAGAAAATGAATGAATATCGCTGACTATGAACAAATCTTCAACGTTTTTAAGTGACAAAATTGATCACCTACATGTGCCTTTATCCTTCAATAACAATGTACATATGCATATTATAGGGTTTCTGCTGACCTGGTAGTATTTATTATATTGCTTTATGTTCCCTGAACTCACCAAACGGAAGGACCGGAGAACTGACAAGCCCTTCACGCCCTCCAGTCCAAGCTCGACGAGACTCAGCGTCACAATGATGGAGTCGAAGATATTCCAGCCCACAGTGAAGTACTTCTTCAAACCCAGGGCTATCATCTTCAATACCATCTCACCGGCAAATATACCGGTAAATGCCTGAAAAATTCACCTTTGTTAAACACCTCTTACGACGTTTCAAAGTATAGTCAATTACGGATAGATGACAAATATTGTTTGAATGCTTTCGATGCCATGGACTATCGACAACTAACCAGTATACATGTGCCACCAAAACTTGTAGATGCTAGGCTACGATATAGTAAGTAAGTTACGATAAGTAATATAGGTTTCAGATCATCTATTTAAAACTTGTTTTCAGCAATGTATTTATCAGCAAATAAAGATAAGAAAAAAAGAAAATTTACAAGAATCAGAAAGGTAGAAAAACGTACTCACGTAGTTACCCTGTTGGAGAATGTACTCCATGTTTGCGGATTTGCCGTGGTAGTCCATGGCCATGAAGAGAGTGTTGAGAACGATGCAGAGTGTGATGAACAGCTCCATGACAGGGTCACAGATGAAAAGAAAACACAAGTGAGCGAAGTTGTCCCACGCTGGAGGGCAGGACCAGCTGCAAAATATCCTGTCCAGCTTCTGCGCAAGCGTCTCTTCCTCTTCATCATCTGAATCATAGTCCAGTGCTCCTGCACAAGTGAAGAACAACGTGATTCTGAGAGTGTTAACAGAACAGCCACTGGTCTCCACTAGACGTACCCTTTTCTCAGTTATTTTTTCTCAACCTATAGATATACAGCTCTCAATATATAGGACGTCAGTGTATCAGCCGGAAGTGCGCATGTGTATGCTAAAGTATAGTCTACACACATGGCACGGGTGGCCTCCGATTGTCAATAGTAACGGTCCAAGGCAGCTCCCTTGTATTGTATCTCCCTATGAGGCGAATTGGTGCCGTTAAAATGAACAACCGTCTACTCAACTGTATAATTTATGCAAGCCGTTGCAAGGTAGTCTTTGTAATGAATGTCTGTGATCCACCAAGTCCAAAGGAGTGGAAAATTGTACAATTGTACCTTTTTAGCCGTCAACTAGTTGCACAAGTGCATGGCAGGATGAATGACATCTAAATGCGTGTTCATAGGGAGCATTTCTCTGAAGTAATCCTATATATTGGAGTGATGGCAATGCAACTTTCTCCATTAATTTACTCAAAGTGAGAAACTGACAAACACTGAGTCATACCTGCCCCCTTCTCTATATCACCGGCAGCTGATGCTGTCTGCATGAAACAGAAAAGAAAAACTATCAGTTTGATGATGACATTTTCCGCATGTAATGTGCATGGAAAAGTTGTATCTTATTGTTTAACAATCTCAAACCAACATGTCTTTTTATTTGGAGAATAGTAACTGATATCAGTAGCATTAGTTTCGGATCTGATTTATTTCCTTTCATTTGAGCCGGAAAATGAATAAGAGATGGGATCTAACAATAAAAAAAGATAGGGTTATAATCTACGTACTAATAATAGAGGCAAGAAAAACTTTATTAAGAATGCATTTTGATCACAGGTGATTACAAACAAAATATACAAAGTACATTGATACATACAGAACACTTTGTACTGAAACTTAGGAAAAATCAATAATACGCTGACAACGACGTAGTAAGTAAAATCCATGTATTAAAGAAAACAAGAGACACGGATAGATAGAGAGAAAAGGAAACGAATAGAAACGAAATAAGATTCATATCAGCAGCACGTGTTTAGAAACTGAGGACAACTGTGACTGACGAGTTGACCACAAGACGAAGACATCAGTCGGGAAGGCGAACACACATCGGACACTTGGTTTAGGCGAATGTTTTCTTGGAGAAGAAGGAGAACAGGATCCCCTCGCGTATCCAGCGGTGACGGTGCATTGCCATTGCAGTATCTGTGGAGGACGTCTCCATTGCATTCTTGGAAGAGCAGCTTGCTGTCTACAAGCTGAGATTTTAAGACATCAGAAGACCCTGTTCTGCTCCGATTTCCATCCAGCGTCAGCTCATCAGAATAACCGTCTTCCCCGAAGCTGTCACAGAAAAGGTTCTCCCTGTCGCTGAAGCGTCCCAGCCGCCAGCTGAACTGACTCCCTCTGCTGCCCCACCGCTGCAGGTACGGCGAACCGCGCAGGCTGACGCTGGACTGTGGAAAGGACATAATCCATTGTTCATTCATTCATTCTTTATTTCAGGTAAAAAAACCCATATAACATGTACAATACATCATTAAAATAATACAAAAACACTACAAACATACAAGTAAAACAGGAAGAAACCTAAAAGCATAACAAATGGTAGGTCTTCCGAAAGAATGAATTCCTGTAGAAGGCATCGGAATGAATTAAGCGACAGATTGTTGCGTTATTGGAGGAAAATAACCTTTTTAGAAAAGAATAACAAATTCTCCTCCTCCTGGTTTCAAAAGTGTCAATATAGTTACAGACAAACATTTCACTCGCGCTACAACGCCGAGGCAGATTCATTATGATTGCGAGGGGCTCGCTTTCCGCCTCACCCAGTAAGTAAAGAAACGATGAGAGTAGTGGTATTTCACCGACGGCCCGAGGGCCTCCCACCTATGCTACACCTTTCATGTCCCTTCACATGGTTCACACGGTTATGGTCTACAAACACAACAAATCATTAAGTATGATGTTTGACCTGGCTGTCAGAAACTCCGGGGCATCAGGCCATCTTCAAAGTTTTGGTCTACAAACACTCAGATGAAAATGATTCTTGTATTCTCCTCTGTGTTGATGGCGACATGTAAATAAGTTTAAACTAGATGTTAATTGAATATGAACCACGCACCAGCGATTGAAGCTCGCCTTGTGAGTTAGTTTTTTCACAAAACGTGTCCTGTAGCTCATCTCTGCTCCTTTTCCTGCTAAAAAAGTTGTTGTGCAGAAGTTTGCTCAATGACGACCGTGATGTAGATCTAGGAGTGGCCCTTGTCAGGAGGGACAGCTGTGAGGGCGTCCTTTTTTTGACGCTGCATCTACTGTGGCGACTGTTTGGGCTTCTTCTACATGTGCTGGAGTGTGAAGTGGTGGTACATCCATTATTGCTGCACGTGTCACTGTCAGCGTACACATCAGCTGCCTGCAAAACAGTCAATAGAAAGCCGTACACGTTAGTAACAGTCACGGGGCATCCATGTAACACTTTGGTAACTAAGATGCTCACAACCCTTCCGTAATCATCATAGTAAAAGATACAAAGTGCATTGGAATACAATACCGTGCAAATGTACTGTAACTTCCCGTCAAACACATGAATCACAGAGACACCCATTTTACTGACGCGCCCAGCCCTGGAAACAACGGGGCATTTTGGACTTCATGCAGTGACCTCCATACATAATTTCTAATTTTTCACAGGTTTGTGCGCTATAGAATACACGATGTTATGTAAAAGATCAACCAGATATTATTCACTATTCAGGTACGACGTATGACTTTAACTCAGTAGATGATATCTGGTAGGTACTTGAACTTGAATGTTTCGTGGCAGGCGATATCATGCACAGGATATTTCCTTCATATTATAACAACACTGAAATTATGCAGATTAAGTAACATTCTCTAGCTTGCCAGAATTCGTCATACATTTAGCAATTGGAGATAGGCATTATTGAAAAATGATAGTTCTAGATCATTCATAGTTTTGGCATGGCGTATGTGATAAATAAAGGCATTGCATAACGGGTGATATGACCGTGATAATGTGTAGACTACACTAGGACAAACAAAACGAACACATGATGAAGCAAAAGAAAATAAACTACTGACCTCGTAGAAAGGCAATTTTCAGCATTGCACAGAAATGAACGGTTAGAAGTTGAAAAACTTTCCACAGAATTGATCCAGAAAATAAACACGAAGAAATACGTAAAAGCGCGTGTTTTGGTTCTCACATGTCAGCTTCACCGTACACAGTGCTGTAGTTGTGCGTCAAAGACATTAGGAACTGTAATGTAACGTAATACAACAACACGTGACACGTGCCCGACATGTGACGAATGTGTCCCATACGGTTCATACACCAGCCAAGGGTCGACCATATATAACTCAGGACTGGCTCACACATTAGTCAGCAGTGGTTCACACATTAGTCAGCAGTGGTTCACACATTAGTCAGGAGCGGTTCACACATTAGTCAGGAGTGGTTCACACATTAGTCAGGAGTGGTTCACACATTAGTCAGGAGTGGTTCACACATTAGTCAGGAGTGGTTCACACATTAGTCAGGAGTGGTTCACACATTAGTCAGGAGTGGTTCACACATTAGTCAGGAGTGGTTCACACATTAGTCAGGAGTGGTTCACACATTAGTCAGGAGTGGTTCACACATTAGTCAGGAGTGGTTCACACATTAGTCAGGAGTGGTTCACACAATAGTCAGGAGTGGTTCACACATTAGTCAGGAGTGGTTCACACATTAGTCAGGAGTGGTTCACACAATAGTCAGGAGTGGTTCACACATTAGTCAGCAGTGGCTCACACATTAGTCAGGAGTGGTTCACATATTAATCAGCAATGGTTCACACATTAGTCAGGAGTGTTTCACACATTAGTCAGGAGTGGTTCACACATTAGTCAGGAGTGGTTCACACATTAGTCAGGAGTGGTTCACACATTAGTCAGGAGTGGCTCACACATTAGTCAGGAGTGGCTCACATGTTAGTCAGGAGTGGTTCACATATAAGTCAGCAGTGGTTCACACATTAGTCAGGAGTGTCTCACACAATAGTCAGGAGTGGTTCACACATTAGTCAGGAGTGTCTCACACAATAGTCAGGAGTGGTTCACACATTAGTCAGGAGTGGCTCACACATTAGTCAGGAGTGGCTCACACAATAGTCAGGAGTGGCTCACACATTAGTCAGCAGTGGTTCACACATTAGTCAGGAGTGGTTCACACATTAGTCAGCAGTGGTTCACACATTAGTCAGGAGTGGTTCACACATTAGTCAGGAGTGGTTCACACATTAGTCAGGAGTGGCTCACACATTAGTCAGGAGTGGTTCACACATTAGTCAGGAGTGGCTCACACATTAGTCAGGAGTGGCTCACATGTTAGTCAGGAGTGGTTCACATATAAGTCAGCAGTGGTTCACACATTAGTCAGGAGTGTCTCACACAATAGTCAGGAGTGGTTCACACATTAGTCAGGAGTGGCTCACACAATAGTCAGGAGTGGCTCACACATTAGTCAGCAGTGGTTAACACATTAAGCTAAGATCCCAATTACGCCGGTGCCCGTCGGGGATGTAGCCCCGGCTGGCCCCGGCCGGGTTCAGGAGTCGAGCGGGCATCGGCTGTCGTGGTCACAATTAAAAGTTTCCTTCAGTAGCATTTTGTTAGAAATTTTGTCACCCTCTTTGGTCGGTATCCGGCAGGCACCCGGCAGGTACCCGGCAGATTCTCTGACGATGTCTTGTATTGACCTATACGTAATGCAGAATTCACGTATTTGTTGTGATCATTTGATCTGTGAGGTCACCCATTTTACCCGGGTTTACGAAGTATACACCTTTATTCTGTTCATCTGGTCTGTGACGTAAGAAATGTGCCCCGGTGGAATGCCGGCAACCGGAGGGGTACCTCTCTGTGTTCTCACGATGAGGTCACGGCGTCTTTTTGTCAGCGGGGCCCGGGTAGAATTTAACTCAGAATTAAATTCTTATCGGGGCCCCGACGGGCCAAAAAACAGCCCGGTAGCCGCAGGGTGCCCCGCGGGGCCACGTCGGGCTCCCGCCCGAAAGTGGTAAAAAACAGCCCGGGAACTACCCGCCAGGGCCCCTTTTCCCAATTGGGACCTTAGCTTTAGTCAGGAGTGGCTCACACATTAGTCAGGAGTGGCTCACACAATAGTCAGGAGTGGTTCACACATTAGTCAGGAGTGGTTCACACATTAGTCAGGAGTGGTTCACACATTAGTCAGGAGTGGTTCACACAATAGTCAGGAGTGGCTCACACATTAGTCAGCAGTGGCTCACACATTAGTCAGGAGTGGTTCACATATTAATCAGCAGTGGTTCACACATTCGTCAGGAGTGTTTCACACATTAGTCAGCAGTGGTTCACACATTAGTCAGAGTGGCTCACACGTTAGTCAGGGGTGGTCCATACATTAGTCAGGGGTGGTTCACACATTAGTCAGGAGTGGTTCACACATTAGTCAGAGTGGTTCACACATTAGTCAGGAGTGGTCCACACATTAGTCAGGGGTGGCTCACACATTAGTCAGGGGTGGCTCACACATTAGTCAGGGGTGTTCACGCATTAGTCAGGAGTGGTTTACATATTAGTTAGGGACAAGACAGGGATTCTTCACAAATACTGTAACCAGATGTGACCATGTGTGGTTCTGACTGTAACCAGGTGTGGCCATGTGTGGTTCTGACTGTAACCAGGTGTGACCATGTGTGGTTCTGACTGTACCCAGATGTGACCATGTGTGGTTCTGACTGTAACCAGGTGTGACCATGTGTGGTTCTGACTGTAACCAGGTGTGACCATGTGTGATTCTGACTGTAACCAGGTGTGACCATGTGTGGTTCTGACTGTAACCAGGTGTGACCATGTGTGGTTCTGACTGTAACCAGGTGTGACCATGTGTGGTTCTGACTGTAACCAGGTGTGACCATGTGTGGTTCTGACTGTAACCAGGTGTGACCATGTGTGGTTCTGACTGTACCCAGATGTGACCATGTGTGGTTCTGACTGTAACCAGGTGTGACCATGTGTGGTTCTGACTGTAACCAGGTGTGACCATGTGTGGTTCTGACTGTAACCAGGTGTGGTTCTGACTGTGGTTCCCACTTTTACCATGTGTGTTTCCCACTTTTACCATGTGTGGTTCCCACGTTTACCATGTGTGGTTCCCACTTTTACCATGTGTGGTTCCCACTTTTACCATGTGTGGTTCCCACTTTTACCATGTGTGGTTTCCACTTTTACCATGTGTGGTTCCCACTTTTACCATGTGTGTTTCCCACTTTGACCATGTGTGGTTTCTACTTTTACCATGTGTGGTTCCCACTTTAACCATGTGTGGTTCCCACTTTTACCATGTGTGGTTTCCACTTTTACCATGTGTGGTTCCCACTTTGACCATGTGTGGTTTCCACTTTGACCATGTGTGGTTTCCACTTTAGCCGTGGAGTCGTTCAGACACCAGTCGGAGACTGCTCACACGGTACCTAGCGGCGGTTCACTCTCCAGTTTATACAATGTCTATGTAGTTTGAAGATTGTACGTGTTTCTTAGATCCCATCTCCGTATTTAATTTTTGTTTGTAACTTTGAATGTTTTAAGTTGAAGTACATTGTAAACTTTGAATGTTTTAAGTTGAAGTACATTGTACTATTGTTGTATATATATTCAATTCACAATCTGATATTCTTATTGTAAATGAATGAAACAAAATCAGCTCAGATGTAACAGATACATACAAGTTTTATGCTTTTTCTATAACTTTAACATTGCAACGTTATTTATATTCATGATATGAAAATCAAGAAACTAACTTTTAGTATTAGAGTATGTACATTTTGTTCTTATCATGCAAAGTTGCATGCTTTGTGAATTCAGAGAAATCCCTTCTTCTATATATCAAATCAAACAAATATTTCAGTTTGGTTTGCACTATGAGTTGTACTGAAACGCAGTTATATTTCCCGCCAGTCCCCCAACCAATAATCACCTTCCTAGATGCCAGTTCTACACTTTTCTGAGCCTCTGACGCCGCTTCTGCCTCTGCCTCTGCCGCAGCTTTCGCTGCTGCTTCTGCTTCTTCCTCTGCCTATAATACATGTGTAATGGGTGATGCTCGCTTTAGCCTGGGCGCCGCGGGCCCAATTAATAAGCCCTTCTCGGAATAAGGCTACACCGATGATTTCTGTGGATGGCATCCTTTAGAAAAGTGAAAAATAGATCCCCTTCAAAAGCAAGATGACCCGTTTTACTGTTAAATAAATAGATAAATGAATAGATAAACAAATAAATGAATTATACCTGGCAAGCCTTGATAGATTGACGAATGAATAACTCAACTAAATCAACCGAACAGTAAGATACACACCTCACTTGAACGTATCTATTACCTATTATGAAATAGTAGTTAATTTTGTCAAACAGCAACATTACTTGTCATTGAACAGAAACGTTCTCCAATCACTCGCCAGTCACTTTCTAAACGCAGCTGACACCGACCCGTGCTTATCAACTTAATCAGTCATGGTGATTTATGGTTTGAATTAATTTTTGTACGTTTAGATACTTTTCATTAATCCCCTTTCCCATTCGGTGGGTTTGTATTCTCCATTTTCACTATTTTGCAATTTCCAATTTACACTCTCCCTTCAAAAGTCATTTTTTCATTACGGTCAGGTGTGCAGCATTCATAATCTCCAAGCAGATGTAGCGTTTTTTGCCCACTGTCACGACGACGGTAAATCTGCGTGGAGATGGCAGCAGTCGAGGCAGTGCTACACTTGTTGTACCCCGAGCAGCTAGAGAACTCCTTATTCATCTCTTCAGAAAGCATCACAAATAAGGACGATTTTAACACGGTTCCTTTTCAGGCTCGAAATACTGGGTGCATGTGCATCTTAGTGTACCCAAAATTGGAGCTATGCACCCAATTTTTTTCTCTGGGTGCACCAGTGCACCCAAATATTTTGGTAGGTATTTTTGTACATATCAACTGTATGATAGTATGCAGGATATTATGAAAAACTTAAACTTTTCTCCAACTCAAAATTTGACTCACCAGAAATTTTCGACTGAATCACTCAGTCTTCCTCAGCTGATTCAGTCGAAAATTTCTGGCGAGTCAAATTTTGAGTTGGAGAAAAGTAATGTAATTTACCAACTCAGATGAACTTTCATGCTTATGCAGGATATTGTTGACGTCTAAGTGTCAGAAAATAATAAAATATTTGTTGAAGTACATTTTTGAGATTTTGAAGTTAGCTCCCATTTCAGATTCATGCTCAGAAGAGGAGCAGTAAGATCTGTATTTAGATTTTGTTTTATATGATGCACCCAAAAATTTTTGTGCACCTACTTTTTTAGGTTGGGTGCACCAGTGCACCTATTCCCAAAAATGAATTTCGAGCCCTACTTTTTATAATAAACGGAGTCTGACCTGTCGGTCATCAGCATATAAACCCTACAGACAAGAAAGTATCCATCTAGTGATCTTGTGATGAAGGGAAAGGTGATGATCATTCTTCAATTTTAAAAGATTGAATATGATAATGTAACATAACATCACCTCTACAAAGTGACAAACGGCCTGGATCATCTCTATCATGAGTTTGTTATAAAAACTAATAAAGCAATCAGAGGAAATTACCAGGGTATTTTTTGCGGGCTACATTTGTGTGATAACGTGAGTCACTCAAAATGTTTCCACAAGAATGACACGAAAGTTTAGATAATATGGACACCAGCTGGACAAGTCTGGTGGGTGTGAACCGCGTCTGAATCAACTAACACGTGTTATCATTTGAATGCAACGATTTTCACGTTTCCAGTAGTTAAGTTTTATGTTTCTTGACAGGTGATACTATAGCTAGCGTTCAGCAAAGCAAAATCCTACTCAGGATAACTTAAAGCAAAGGCCACTAAAATGTACCTTAGCACATAGCAACTGAAAGGGGGAAACTCCAAATAGTCACTACATCTGTCCCCATACTACCCGCTAACGGAGTACGACCCGACCATTAATTTTTCTGGTACCAGCAAGACCTGCTACGATTGCCGCTCTTGTTTATGACACTGATATCCTAAAACCATTGATGCCATCCACTGAAAGGACTTGGTGTGGCCTAAAACGATATGCCAACAGTCTGATGCTCTTTCTCGTGGGCCATTTGAGAGCTCCTAAATAGGACTAAAACAAAAATATCTCAAAACGGAAATTAGGATAAGAATGAATGTAAAAGAAATACCAAAAATGAAAATATTTTTTCAACATTAGGTGTGACCTGCCGTGACTGCGTACTCACAGTTTCTGACGAAGCGTCTTCATAAGACATCGCGACGACAGCTAAGATGAGGTTGACCAGGTAGAATGATCCCAGAAATATAACCACGATAAAGAACATTATATGCACTGGGCCTGCCACCGCCAATATCTGAAATAAAACGCACATGTTGATCTGACCATAGTTATAGATGTTAGTGATTTCTTACATATTGATGCAATATTATGTACTGCAATACATACAAAATGAGTTAGGTACAGAAAAAGGTAGAGAAAAAGGAAAAAGGTAGAGAAAATCTCCCTCGGGTTATTTATGTGGGGATGTCTCTCTGTGGATGCCTCTCTGGGGTTGTCTTTGAGGATATCTGTGGGGATGTGTCTGTGGGGTTGTCTATGAGGATATATCTGCGGATATGTGTCTGTGGGGATGTCTATTTGGGGATGTGTCTGTGGGGAAGTCTTTGTGGGGATATATCTGTGGGGATGTCTGTGTACTGTGGGGATGTCTTTGTGGAGATGTCTCTGTGAGGATATATCTGTGGGGATGTCTCTGTGAGGATATATCTGTGGGGATCTGTCTGTGAGGATATATCTGTGGGGATGTCTCTGTGAGGATATATCTGTGAGGATGTCTCTGTGAGGATATATCTGTGGGGATGTGTCTTTGAAGATGTTTCTGTGGGGATGTCTGTGTGGGGATGTGTCTTTGAGGATATATCTGTGGGGATGTCTGTGTGGGGATGTGTCTTTGAGGATATATCTGTGGGGATGTCTGTGGGGATGTGTCTGTGAGGATATATCTGTGGGGATGTCTGTGGGGATATGTGTGTGAGGATATATCTGTGGGGATGTCTCTGTGAGGATACATGTATATCTGTGAGGATATATCTGTGGGGATGTCTCTGTGAGGATATATCTGTGAGGATGTCTCTGTGAGGATATATCTGTGGGGATGTGTCTGTGAGGATGTTTCTGTGGGGATGTCTGTGTGGGGATGTGTCTTTGAGGATATATCTGTGGGGATGTCTGTGGGGATGTGTCTGTGAGGATATATCTGTGGGGATGTCTCTGTGAGGATATATCTGTGAGTATATATCTGTGGGGATGTCTCTGTGAGGATATATCTGTGAGGATGTCTCTGTGAGGATATATCTGTGGGGATGTGTCTTTGAGGATATATCTGTGAGGATATATCTGTGGGGATGTCTGTGGGGATGTCTCTGTGAGGATATATCTGTGGGGATGTCTGTGTGGGTGTGTGTCTGTGAGGATATGTCCGTGGGGATGTCTCTGTACTGTGGAGATGTCTTTGTGGGGACGTCTTTGTGGGGATGTCTTTGTGGGGATGTCGGTGGGGATGTCTCTGTTTAGATACCTCAAAGAGTGACATCCCCACATAAATAACCTGAGAGACATCTCTAGTTGTTTAGGAACACGAAAAAGGTACATACCAGCTGATAAAGATTTTCCCAGTAGTCTTGTACTATGAGTCTGAAGGACGCCAGTGCGGCCCAGCCGAAGGAGTCGAAGTTAGTATAACCATAGTTTGGGTTGGGGCCAAAGCCCGGTAGGCATCTGTAGCCTTCAGCACAGATTCTGTACATAATGAATGTCGTGTTACTAGAAAAGATACATACCAGCTGATAAAGATTTTCCCAGGCGTCCTGTACTATGAGTCTGAAGGCAGCCAGCGCGGCCCAGCCGAAGGAGTCGAAGTTAGTGTAACCATAGTTTGGGTTGGGGCCGAAGCCAGGCAGGCATCTGTAGCCTTCGGCACATATTCTGTACATAAGGAATGATGTGTTACTAGAACTTCATTTACTTTACACGTTACCTTTTTAATTTATTTATCTATTTGTCTAGGTCAGGAAACTGGATTTCACCGTCACCAAAATGCTACCGTTCATTCAGAATAAACCTCGGTGGAAATTTACAACTAATAAACAACTCTACGGCTCCCTTCCACCAATCTCCACAGTAGTCAAGCGCCGTAGGTTAAGCCTAGCCGGCCATGTATGTATGTATTATTTTATATCAATTTCATTTCATCTCAATTTATGTATACTACTGTTTCATTATTGTTATTGTATCATTTTGCCTATGTTTGAATTATTCCTTATGTATGCATGTATTATTTCAATTCAATTATGTTTAGTTTTGGTTAGTACAGAGGAGGAGGGCTTAGCATAAGCTAAATAAGCTTTTTTCCCTCCTCCTGCACCTGTTTTATTTATTATTAATGTATTATGTATAATTTTTATTGCTGTTGTCCAAATAAACAAACAAGCAAACAAACAAACATGTTACTCGGCATGGCGAACCGGATGGAAAACTGCTTCTCTGGTCTCCAGAAGCTAAAAGGAGAAGAGGCCGTCCATACTCTACAGTAAAGGACATTGTGTTGGTCTGAATGGAAAAGAACTTACGCGATGTACGATAGAAAAATCTGGAAGCTGAATTACGTTAACGCTTCAACTCGTTTAGTATGAATATGTATGTATGTATGTATGTATGTATGTATTTCCAGTGTTTTGATAAGACAGAGAAGAAGCCGATACTTAAAAAAACATTGTTAAAAGCCATCTAGTTAGGATGCCCCCACTGTATCTGGTGGCAGCGAGTTGCACACTACGATTATTATAGTTCTATGAAAAAATGAATTTTCAACACCTCAATACTTAGATAATAACTCCGGTACTTGAAGGCATGACTATATTTCTTGTTCTTTTTTGAGCTGGTATTAGGAACTTCGTAGTTGGTACATCCACCAGTTTATCAGTCATTTTGTACAGATGCATATTCAGGACATTTTTCGTTTGTCATCCGTAACACTAGCACCCCTTATATAGTTGTTCATTCAGAATCTTGCAGCTTGATTCTGTACCCGATCCAATTTATCTTTGTCTTTCTCTGTATATGTACCCCATACTATCACGGCATATTCTAGGTTTGGTCTTACAAGCGACGTGTAACGTTACTGATATTTTCCTTAGCCAAGGTTATGTTTTCGTTGGCGTTCGCGCGCGCGCGCACGATAACTCAAGAAGGCTAAGATGGATTGTCTTAATATTTGGTAGGTGGGTAGGTCTTGATGAGGCCTCGAATTGATTAAATTTTTGACCCCCTGGTGGCTTGTTATGGTACTGCAGCCGAACTTCCGGTTGTGATGTCTGGTGATCTGGACATGGTAGGGTCACTAAATTCGGATGTTAGGTAGCTCTTGGGCTGGGAAAAAAGTGACACGAGTTTGGGCCCCCAGGAACTGCAGGAGCATTCGTTGAAAAATATTCGAAGGAGGATAACTCAAGAACCGATTAACGGATCATCATGATTTTTGGTATGTGCGTAGCTTAAAGAATGATTGACATATTAAAATGATATTTATGCAAATCAGCAGCTAATTAGCATAGTTAATGAGAAAATTCTATACATCTGATACCTTCCATGATATGATCATTCAAACATGTGGCAAGTGTAATTGTGAAGATGAAGAACATTAGCAGGTATTGGTTATGCAAACGAAGGCCTGATTTGCATAAATAATGCAAAAAAACTATGATTACATAGCAACTGCAGGGAATCTCATACTTGTGGCGTTAACGCTGTTACGTTAAGTGAAGGCGGACATCATTAAAAATAACATGTTCAAATCATTACATCATTTGCATAATTTATGCAGAAATTCTAGATTAGGCATTTTTCATAAGATAAGACTGTCACTAGGTGAATAACATGATTAACTGATATAATTTATACAAATGGGGATCTTCAGATCTTGTTTTCAGGATTAATGAAAATCATTTAAAATTCGTCAACATTCGTCAAGGCTCAAGCGTAACGTCGTTTGGCGAAGGTATGGGGTCGTGGAACCCTTGTTATACTGATATTATAATATGTACAAATTGTCTCACCCTGCACCGCTGCTGTTACCGCAAATCTTCCATTCTGAGATGTCACCTACTTGAAAGTTTTCTGTGGAAAGAAAAGTTATCGTTTAGCAATACAAAACATCACCTGCGTAATTATATCTTGTGACCACGAAACGTACAAAATGTGATACCTGTATGTATAGCTAGTAATGTTCCAAAACATAGTCAACAAAGCCACGCCAATATTTCAAAGTAGAGCCCAAAGGTAGGCCAGAGAATATAATCTAATTATTTCAAAGTTCTCTTTAAGACATATCTACATATCAAATATCAAGACAACCTACGCACACACGAAAACATAGCCTTCATAAGAAAATTAAGGTAATTAATGCACTTGCACATCTACTAGAAATAGACTAGGGCTGACACAATAAGGTTCCGGTCCACGAAAGGCTGTGTGAGTAGTGTGAAATGAATGTAGTGGAAAACGAAATACATTTGCCAAAATCTTCATATTTGGATGGTTGATGAGGTTAATGAGATACGACAACAATGGTAGTGATTTCATATTTGTGACATGTGCAATGTATGCAGAGCTAAGCATTACAAGTCAAGTTGTATGCATATGAGATAATCGTTTCTATAGCTAATGCGATAACAATAGTTATTGATGGTATGTGATCGTTTGATGGTAAAACAGAGCAGGGTATTAAAGTGGGATGTGTTATGTCAGTAAACCAGATACAGAAACATTCGGTATCGTGTCATGAGTGTATATAATTGATAATACAGACCTGAATTATTGTTCCACAGAAACCACATCTGATCTGTGATATTTGGAACGGTTACCAAAAAGTCGTCCCCCAGTCCTGCCCAACTGGTATAATTGTCCCAATAGTCCTCAGGTAAAGTTGAGTTGGGCCAAAAAGAGAGATACTCTGAAATGTTCATAAATTCGGGGATGATTCTAATGCACTTTTGGCGAAGCTGTCCCATGTAGATTTGGAGCGCGACTAAGGCAAACACACAGAGAGCGAAGACGGTCAGGATAAGGACGTCTCTCAGGTTTATAACGGACTGGATCAAAGCGCTGACCAGGGTCTTCAGACCTGAAATAGAAATTACACAAATCTTATTTTTGAAATTTTAGTCTGACCTGTAGAAGTGTGGATATACAAGTTTAGAGGGAACAAATAAATGGATTATTACACAAAAAGAAGGCTTTTACTATACATGTACATTTGGTATCTCCTGATCGTTTTTTAAGTCAACACGATGTTAACGTTGATGAGAAGGCGACTTGAAACTAATCCTGACCGTACCGTGTATGCTGTGAAAACTTACCTGGAACTACTGAGATAGTCTTCAACGCTCGCAGAACTCGAAAGGTTCTCAGAGCTGACAAATTTCCCAGGTCTACGAATATGGTAATGTATCTGAAACGGGAAACGCAAAGGTAAATGTAATGTTTTTGCTGCTTCAATGTGAAACATATTGTTAGAAGACAACAAAATATCGCTAATTTCTGCCAGAGGTTAAAAGAACATTTAGAAAACATCAAGTGTACGCGAAGACGCAGATAAAGATCAACCTACTGGTCATTTACAAATAGTTCAAATATGGCTTCGAATTCTATCAGTACATTTCTTGGTAGTTCTACAAAAGATTAGCTGTAGAGTTTTCGAAACAGCACATGTCCGAAATACTTACGCCAACCCTATGACTCCAAAGTCTAGCCAATTCCACGGATCTCTTAGGTAGGAGAAATGTGTAAGAACGAACCCTCTGGCTAATAACTTTACTGTCATTTCAAAAGTGTAGATGCCAGTGAATATATACCTGCAAAAGAAGAAAAAAACATCAAAAGATATAACTGTCATTCGGGAATGGATTCAAAAAGTATTTTCCATCTTTCGACAAAACAACATTTGAATGTCCTCATGTGACGGGTTTATTCTATTACAAGCCCTATCGTATCCAGAACTGTGTCTATCTGGTTTTATGCCAGAATGGTTTGGTGTTGGTTCAAGCACGGTTCTGGATTGTCTCCGCGTATACAAGAACGTAGATTTGCTCCAGGATCGGTTCTGGGAACGCGTGGACTATCCAGAACCGTGGCAGGGGATGGTTCTGGAGAAAGCACAGTTCTGGATACAACATGCCCCTGCTAGTGCTTCCGAATGAGCCCCAAGACGGAAAGTTGGCGGCAAAGTTAGCGACAATCTTCACATCTCCGTTTAGACAAATCTCCACTTGTTTTACCATGTCATCCTAATGACAGGGCAGGTCAAGGGACTAGGTAAGTACGGACAGGCTCTGTTTTTGTTCGTATCCATGACACGGTGGTCACAGGGAAACACCATCATCACAATCTGACCAAACCTGCTACTTATTTGCATTAACTTGACACATTTATTATCTTTCATCTACCTCAGGAACAGGACAAAACTACGCTTAATAAACCCATGCTTGTATTGCGGACGTGCAGAAGAAGGAGTAGTACTTACTCTGTGATTTCCGGTGGATTTGTCATGGTCATGAACACACAATTCACTAAAATTGTTAACATGACCAACGTGCTAAACAGTCTGAAGAGATGTTAAGGAAAAGATAAAATGTAGCAAACAAAGAAACAGCAAATAAGCATGATTACTCAGCGCAGAGTATCTAGTTGTTTTTATTAAGGTGAAGACCTGGTATATCATGTACGTGTAGTGACCCAAATTTCATATCATTTGGCCAGACAATGAAGAAATTGAATCCATTTAACTAAATAGCAGGAGGAGGAGAAGAAGAGGGAAAACAATATATTCCCAAGGACTGAAATATAACACAAGTGATTGTTATTATGGTTTGAGAGTTGTGATTTTCTGAATTACATTACACCATTAAGAAATCATGTTCAGATGTCATAAATCTTCAACAGTCTGAAGATTACATCTTCTAGGGTTCAGTATCTTCTAGGGTGTAGTATCATGCTGAAAAGGATACGAGTGCACGAGTGTGTAGAGTGCCAGTCGTCTGATTGGGTGGAAAGGAGTGAAGATATAGCAGGCACTAGTGGTGCTGAAACGGAATATGCTCCTATCTTTTGCTATGACGATAAAAGTCTAGAAAGGAATAAGAAGAAAACATAGTGATTAAACAGAGAACTAGATGTAATCGCCGAGAATGGTGGTGATTATGCAATTAGAAGTTTTTTTCACTCTTTTATGTAAAACACACGTGTTTTGTAGAATATTAGAAGAAAGACGTCATCCTGGGTTACGTGGAATTAGTCCCAACAGTGCTTGAAAGGTACTAAACACAGTGCCTAGTCCCCGACCCCATACTCCGGCATTATGAATGTCAACACGAGACAAAGACTTCAACATTGTTTCTGTCACCTCACCTCTTTATCTGCATAATAGGGGTCAATGTCCTCCAACGGTCGACCCACGTAGTCATCAGGAAACTCGCCCAGGTAGTCTGGTAGGACAGACCCCACAGACAGTTTCGGATCAGGGTCCTCAATCTCATGTTCTTCAACCTCATCTTCGTCTATTTCTCCTTCCTTGATCTTCCGAAGACGCTCCTAAAAGAAAGAAAGAAAGAAAGAAAGAAAGAAAGAAAGAAAGAAAGAAAGAAAGAAAGAAAGAAAGAAAGAAAGAAAGAAAGAAAGAAAGAAAGAAAGAAAAAAAGAAAGAAAGAAAGAAAGATAAAGAAAGAAAGAATGAATGAATAAATGAATGAATGGAAGAAACAGAAAGAAAGAAAGGACTGTTATATTTTCTCCACCACCAAAAATTTTTTCAGCAAACTGAGAAATGGAAACATTCTACATAGTCCACATTTGGCGTACCTTCTTTTCGGCTATCAGCCGCTGTATCTCCTTTACTGAATCGTTGGTCAGAGGACGAAAGTTTCGGTTTGGCGTTATCTCCTTTTCCATATTTCAACATGTACATTCGAGAATTCTTCTTTGGAGACATAAAAATGCTGCCAGATGGGAACCTACAGAGGAGAAAACCGTTTTGATTAGTCATAGCATCGACAACATTCAAAATGATACCTGCTACTGAGCTCGAGTTTCTCATGTTTTATACACAGTGGGGAGAGAAATATAGGGTTGCCTTGGTGAAAACTGATGTTTCCCCCGGAAAATTCAGATGTTGTTTAGGATTTGTTTGTTTCTGTGTACGTCTCCGGATATTTGTGGTCAACAGAAATTTGTGGCCAACAGCCTGAAGTCTGGGTGGTTTGAGATGATGTTCCATGTGTAAGTAGACCATAGAAAGACGAAACACATAGTTTTCTTAGAGCTAAATGATGGGGAAATGCTACATGTAAATAACACTGGCCTTTGTCCTAGATATGTTATGATCTTTGTAGTAGCTTTTGAAATCAGGAAGAAGTGCTAGCAATAAGCAAAAGAAGATCTGATTTACATAGTTAATGAGAAAATGCCATATTTGTTTAGTGGTACATGCTGGCAATTTCTTACCTGTGACACGTGTAAATAAACATCGCCACGCAAGAAAAATTGAAAAAGCCTCTTCGGAGGCAGACGGACATGGGGGCATTTTGGTGGGGGGTTAATCTTGATCGGGGGTAAAATTTAGAAAACTTAATTCTTGCACTGAGGTGAATTTTGGAATATTTTTCACGGAAAAGGGATCGGGAATGGGTTATGTAGTTGCGTGAGTTTTCGTACTCATACCTGCCGAGTGCTAAGACGAGAAAGTTGTATGTTTAATTGTTGACTTTGAACTTTCCAAAGCAGGGCCCATTAGGTATTTGCATCTGTACCGTAAGGTTTGCCTCTGTAGTAATTACCTGCGCCAAAAAGGGTTATTCTGTGTGTGTGTGTGTGTGTGTGTGTGTGTGTGTGTGTGTGTGTCTGTGTGTGTGTGTGTGTGTGTGTGTGTGTGTGTGTGTGTGTCTGTGTATGTGTGTGTGTGTGTCTCCGTCTGTCAACACGATAACTCGAGAAGGCGTAGGTGCATGGTCTTGTTGATATTTGCTAGATACCCTTGATGAGACCTGAATGATGAGAGTTTGGCCTACCAGGCGGCTTGTAATAGTACAGCAGAGGAACTCCAGGTTTCATCTCGTGACTGGGCACACTACGGGCACGAATGTTAAGCGGTTAATAGCTACTGCGCTCAGAAAAGAAAGTGACGTAAGTTTGCGCCCTTAGCAGCTTTGCATAGATAATAACGAAATTCTGCAAATCTGTTGCGTTCCATAATAGGTCTATGCAAACTTGTGAAATGTGGCAATTAGAGGAAATCGGCAAATGTTGATTATGTAATTACAGACCTAATTTGCACGATAAATGAGAAAATGCTATAATTCTATAGTAGTAACTGCCAGCAATTTCACTCTTGGGGTACATGGAAGGTCAACACCATTAGATATAAATTAGTCATATCAGGACGTTATTTACATAGTCATGAGGAAATGTAAGAATGAGGATCTCATTTGTGTACTACATGTAGTATTCGATGAGTCTGGGGAACATAGAACACAATCTTAGATTAACATCATTTGGCGGGACTTTGAAGACATACTCACGACCCATAGAAGTGTGTGGACGAGGTGGTTGGAGTGTGGATCTTAATATTATTCCCTCACTGTGTCAGCAACCTGCTAACTTACACGGACACAGAGGCATCATCTAGCCAACCAGCGAGATTACTACCTGCAGAAAATCAGGAGTAAAAATAGAAAGGAAGCCAAGTCAAGAGAGAGATATATACAAGATATATATACGATTTCAGTCCATCTTTACAAGAAAAATATTGGACCTTTACAGAAAATGTGGACCAAAAAGTGGACCTTTACATAAAAAGTGGACCAAAAAGTGGACCTTTGAGCCATGTTACACTTGCCACAAACAAAAGGCTAGCTCGAGCCAGGTAGACTGTGAGTACCGGACGGACACTGACTTCTAACATTGACAGCTACTTCTAGACAAAACTACTCCTGAACCGGCGATTGTGATCGACACTTACGATATAGTAGCAGACACAGACTCATGGCTCAAGCAAGACGTAGCAAGCAGTGAAAACATTTCCTAACGACAACATTTCCCACAACCTGGCCCAGGAGGTGATGTGTTTCAGGCCAGCAGGGATGATTTAATAGTTGCTCACAGGTCATACCAGACCTAGGCACAGACGGTGACACACACATTAGGGGCTGTGCTAGCAACCTCCAACCACAAGTTAATTCGTTGGTTGGCGTCACCATGTAAAATGTTTTTCTTCTTCTTTTTTGTTTTCCATGTTCCTTATTGGTAGCGTATTATAATTGGAGTTGGATGCATTTATACAAAGTCTATATATTTTGTTCTATCAAGGAGGTCCTACTTTTTTAGTCCTAGTTTACGGTTAAACCCCTCCGATAACTCTTGCCGTTTTTGACTTGGGCTGTTTTGAAAAAAGAAATGTTTACTGGTGCAAAAAAATGTTTACTTGTGCCTCTGTATAATACTAGTAGGTCAAAAATAAAAATACACACGCGAGCAGCCCCCGCCACGCGTACATGGCAAGTCAATCCCATGGTTGGCGTTGTAACCATCGAATTGACTTGTTTGTGCCAGGAGCTCCCTTCATAGAGCTCTGTGGATGGTTGATGGTTGGTGTGACAAACTAAATAACTACATTAAGCTCTGTGAAGTGAGCTATGTGTACGGAGATCTGTAAGGGAGCTCTGATTGTTGGCGTCACCAGCTAAGTAGCTCCATAGTGCTCTGTGAAGGAAGCTCGTGAGCGGAGCTGTGTTGTTCAAGGTTGCGCCTTCCGGACACAGGAGACATGACTTTGACGCAGCAAATGTCCGTCCAAGTTCCCATCTTTCAAAAACAAAATGTGCCTAGACACTCACAGGGCCATTTCGATTTCAAGATGACAGATCTGATGATGTCTGTAAATAGAGGGCCGAGAGATTAGGGAAGTTAATATATACTAAAGGGTTAATGCCCCGACCCGAGATGTATATGGTGAGATAATCCCTGGTAGGGTGCAATAACCACCGACTAAACCACCGAGTGAAACGAGGATAAGGCGCCACTGACTTAAAATCCACAGAGCTCAGTACAAAATTGAACCTGTGACGCCATTCATCGAATTGACATGCTTTGAACGCAGAGCTCAAAGCAGTCTAAGCAAAAATCAACCATGACGCCAACCAACGAATTGACTTGTTTTGTCGCAGAGCTCTGCAGAGGTATCATATATATCAATGAGGGCTGTACGAGCATCCTTGGAGATTCCAACACTCCTGGCATCCATTGGGATACTAGTGTAGCTGCAACACTCAGACCCACATAGGGCAAGCAGAGAGAGATGCCCACAGGATTCACCTAGTCAAGAACCCACTAGAAATGGTAATGTCTTGAAACTAGTTTCAGTTAACTAACCCAGAATAATTAAAAAAGACCACAGTAGTCTCGGGTTCATGTGGCATGGTTCTAGTTGACGTTAGCCCGGCACCCAAATAAAACACAAAACATAAAAGAAAAGTGTACATTTGCACAAAAGTTGATGAACGGCCATCAAGAAAGGTCGTACATGTATAGACTACACATGACCGTTATACAGAAGTGAACAGTCTTATTTACTTATTTAACCAGAGAACTTATCGCCCTGGAGGACGGTTTCAATGCACCCTGGGGGGCAATCCCCAAACACAATAAAATAATAACAATACAACTTAAAGTAATCACTGAACTATCTTATGTACAATCAAGGGGCAAATTAAAATAAGGTAACTTAATGGTAAGCATGGACTTAAGTAACGGAAGAATAAGCGGTCCAACATAGGCATACATCAAATAATATCAGATCAAGCATACAAAAGTCAAATAAATAATAAGTGAGAGATGAATTTGCATATCAATGTACAATTGGCAAGCAGGCATAATGAACAATATACAAGAATATCCTTAGTAAAATAACATCAAGCAGATACAATCTGCCTTCGTTTAACAGACACCTTAGGAGATATTGTCGTTAGTTGTAAATGTGAATATCATCTGGGGAAGGTATGTGATTGCGGAACTCTAGTTAAAACATGTAACGTCACTGTTTCATCTTCATAATCCATCGTGTGAAAACAAATCATTTAGAAACAGCATTACAAAACTTAGGATTAGTGCCCATTCTTTGCAAATTGAAAAAGGTCGCCACTGTAACACACCAGCCAATGAGAGACTGTGTCCCACGTGTCATAAAGGCGTTGAAAACGAATTACATTTTATAATAGATTGCCAACCTATGATGAAAACCGACGAAAATTGTTACAACATATTACATGTAAGACCAATATAACACTACCCCATACAAAGACAGAGATATTCTATGTGTTACTATCATGCCCTGTCAACATTTCCACTTATGTACTCCAATTTGTACACAATTCAATGACAAAACGAGAAAACGTAATTAATTCCTTACACAATTTATTACTACATAGTATTAATAGAGTTAGATTAGTATAATTAGTGTCTCTCTTTTGCTACTCCGTGAAGGAGGTCAGGACCTCCGGACGGAGTGTTGTGATCGACTGATTTTTCATGTTCGCAGTCAAAACACTGGGTTCTCTTTGTGCAATCGGCACGCGATTTTATACGCCGTCTGCGGGCATGCCCGTGTTGATGCACGAATGTGTATTTTTGCCGTTGCTGCTTTCGCGGTCAATGTAATATTGCAGACGCACCCCTACAATTGCGAGGCGAATTGGAATGGTCCAGAAAAACGCGTTGTTTGGAATAGCAGTGGGGGGGGGGTGGAACTTCATGCAGATACGGGGTGGTTTTTATAAGTGGTTCCAGATGTTTTTGCCCATGGTTAAGAGATGTGCAAGTTTTTTGGAAGATGTTCGCAGCCAAAACGCATTCTTCCGTACGTCGCATTTCTGTGTAATTTCGCATGTGGTGTGGCATTATGTCCGGGATGATGCACGTCTTTTTATTTTTACCGTAGCTGTTTTGATATTGAAGTAAATGCATATTTTAGAAACATCCCTACTTTTACAATCCTGTGGAATAGGCCGTAGGTTTAGGCAGTTGTCTGGTAGCAGAGGTACTATAAGCAGATATGCTGGTTATCTGGCCGGCGGTAGTAACAATCGCGGTGCTTACCGCAACTGTTGCTGGAATTTGTCCTGTTCCAGGCGCGCTTAATTAGGTACAGGCACGGTAAGACGGTGGGGCTATCTTTGTTACTAGACACGACCATGATAGTCCGATCTTTATGTGAATGCAATGATTGTGTGTGTGTAATTAAAATGAACTTCGAACTTGAAGCACAGTATCTTTACACGCCCTGGGAGCAGTAATGGATTTAGCTCTTTGTATGTTTTATGCTTGTGACGCGCCCTCATTGTATTAACCGTTGCCTAATTATAATGTCTGCACAGTAGGTCTGGCGTTGACGCTTGGGATTTTGTTGAAATATATAAAACTTCACGGAGGATTGTCACCTATGGCTTCTTGTTATACATTGTTTATGAAGCAGACCAGATTCCTATTACAGTTAGTAGAACTGTTAGATATTCTCAACACCACCATATATGTATGTTAACACCACAAACTATGTATGTATATTTTGCCATACGTTGTACCCGCTACATCTGTTGCGCAATAAAGTTCTTCTTCTTTTGTAATTCATAATGGCGCTCTGTATCCCAGGATCGGCCTGTACGCATGTCTTACATGTCTCCATTACTAGACATGGTGGATAAATGACTTATCTTTGTACGATGGAAATGCTATGTACATGTATATGGCATATATATGCCATATACATATATATGGGTGATATGTAGAGTTATCATTAGTTATCATCATTAGTTGTAAATAATGCAAATCATTTGCATTGTTATTGTCAAAATAGTGATACCCTTGCGTTGAATATTTGGTCTGTCATACCTGGTTATGTTTTTGATTGGGCACATCATTAGATATTAGTTATACAAATATACAAACTATATGCCAATTATACAAACATTGTTTACATAATTGGCCTATAAATGTTATAATTTCCATGTGTTGGGTGATTACAGTTTAAAAGTTATGACATATTATCAGTCATATACATAATGAGGTATCAATGGATATACCAAGATTCGCATCACGAAAGTCAGAACCTGCCTGCCTGAACATCATTGGATAATTAGTCAGAAAAAAGAAACTGTCAAGCATTTGAATAATTTTGGCCTATAAGAAAGCTTGGTTAGGCCAGGTCAGTCAGTTCAGCTGTTAAAAAAATTAGGAGTTTTAGATCGAGAACTGGCTGGATACAGGTTTGGAAGACTCAGGTTTGGTGGAACTTGCCATTTTTGCGATGTTTCCTTTATGTATGTGCCCGCGCCTCGTCATTCCAACTTTCTCCAAGCTGAAACTCCCATATCTGTATCTGTATCGGTATAGCCGGTATAACCGCCCTTGGGCGTAACACACCAGCTAGCTATATTACACCGAACGGCTTGTTACACTCAATCTTTGCACATTTGATTGCAGGAGTTGTTTAAAGCTTTCTAGTGATGATGCCCCAACTGTGCTTGGAGTTCCAGTCTACGATAGTTCTGGGGAAATACGAGTTTTTGAATACCTCAATTCTTGGTTGATAACTCTGATATTTGAAGGCATGACTGTTTCTTGTTCTTTTCTGGGCTGGTATCAGATACTAAGTGGTT